GCCTTGGTGAATAAATCCTCACCAATTCCCTTCTGTGCCCCCGTGATGAACTTATAGGCAGCCACAAGGTCGCCTCTCAACCTTCTCTTGCGGAGGCTGAAAAGGTCCAGTTTCTCTAGTCTCTCCTCGTAGGGCTTGGTCTGCAGGCCCTTAACCATACGAGTGGCCCTTCTCTGGACCCTCTCCAGGTTATCCGCATCCCTCTTGAAGTGCAGTGCTGAGAATTGCACGCAGTACTCCAACTGCGGTCTGACCAGTGCCCGATAGAGGGGAAGTATCACCTCCTTGGACCTATTCGTCATGCATCTGCTGATGCACGATAAAGTGCCATTGGCTTTTCTGATGGCTTCGTCAGATGCCTACTGCTGATTCATGTTCATCTTGGAGTCCACTAGGACTCCAAGATCCCTTTCCACTTCCGTGCCACCCAGCAGGTCATTCCCTAGGCTGTAGGTGTGCTGGACATTTTTCCTCCCTAGGTGCAGCACTTTCCATTTCGTGTCCAGGCGTTTCGTAACCTGGTCATAAAAAGAAACTAGATTGGTCAGGCACGATCTGCCTGCCATGAACCCGTGCTGGTTTCCCCTCAGCATAATTTGTCCTGCCGGGCTCTCACAAATGTGAGCCTTGATAATTTTTTCAAAGACTTTGCCAAGGATGGAGGTGAGACTGACTGGTCTATAGTTGCCCGGGTCCTCCTTCCTCCCCTTTTTGAAAATGGGGACCACGTTGGCCCTTTTCCAGTCCTCCGGGACTTGGCCCGTGCGCCACGAGCTTTCAAATATTCCCGCCAGTGGCTCTGCAATGATGTCGGCCAGTGCCTTCAGCACCCTCGGATGGAGCTCATCCGGGCCTGCCGACTTAAAGGTATCCAGTTCTTCCAAATGACTCTGCACCATCTCAGGGTCTACACATGGTAGTCTGGCGTCTTGCTGCTGCCTCTCTACAACCCCAGTGACAGACTTGTTGTGCCCCTCGCTTAGGAACACTGAGGCAAAGAACTCATTGAGGAGTTCAGCCTTGTCCCCTCTGTCCGTCACCAATTGTTTCTGCCCATTTAGCAGGGGTCCTATTCCTCCCTGGGCCTTCCTTTTACTCCCAATATATCTAAAAAACAATTTCTTGTTGTCTTTTACTTGGGTTGCCATCCTCAGCTCCATGTCAGCTTTGGCCCGTCTAACTGCCTCCCTACAAGCACCTGTAGTCCTGTAGTCATTAAAATGAGATGTACCTCTTTTTTCAGACTGATAAAGCACAATCTAGCATTCTTGAGTGTCTTGATAGGGCATCCAATGCTACACTGGGTGCATCTACACATGTGGTTTATTATGGAGCAGACTAATTAGCTCCAAAAGAAGGAATCACTCTCTACATGAGTGCTGATATTAGGGCACACTAGATTAATTAACTCTGCCATAAGATAGTATTGTTGGGGACAGTATGTTATGGCTGACAGTATGTTATGGCTGACTAACTGCTGAAACGCTCTTGTAGATGGTGACTGAGGCTGGCTGCAGCATGAAGGAGCTGAAGTGTGGGGGATGCCTGCCATTCAGACCCACACTTTAGCACCCTTCTGCCACAGCCAGTCCTTTATCCCAACACTGGCACACAGAGCCTGGGGCTGAACCCTGAAGACCCCTGCCCACCCAGAGCTTCTCTGCCCCGGCTCTCATTGCTATGGTCCTGAGCACATGTGAAGACATTGTGCTTGGGAGCAGCTGACTCCAGCAAAAACTGCACCAGAGTTTATTCAGTTTATTATGCAGTTTATTATGCACTAATTTCATGTGTAGATACACGCACTAAAAGCTACTTTTACACCTGAGTTGTTAATTTTAGCTAGAGATAAAAACAGCTTGCAGGGCTTTGAAATAGGAGCTACATTACCAGGAGCAGCTAACACACAGTAGAACTGCAAAAGAAAGGATATCTTAATTAGTGGATCATCAGCATTAAAAAGGAGAGAGGGTCATTAACACCTGTGAAATGAATCCTTTAGAAAGAAATGGGTAGATTATAATGAGCCATGAAGTCAAGTGACTCCCTCACTACTGCCTGATTAGAAATGCTGCTGTCACTGCTAGTCATCTGGTTTTAAACTTTGGGTGGACCAGAAATCACAGGGTGGTGCAACTGCACCATTCCCCCCACCTCCCGCTTCACATGGATCTACCCCTGGAGCCACTTTCATGTGCATAAAGATCTCCTTTGTGCAAAGCAGTGTATTTCACTTTCCAATTAGAGCACACTTATCTCACACTTAGGGCACTTGTACACATGATGGTGGGGCCATGTACAGTTGACAAAAAGTGATGAGAAATCATCATTTGTCTAACATAATGATGCCACTGCAGAGGAAAAGACTGGGGCACTGCTACCGTGGAGGGAGGTACCAGGGCCCCCACAGCTCAGCCCCTGACCACAGGAGAGGCGGGCAGGCTTCCATCACAGCGATGGAAGCAGTGGGTCATAATTAAAACTCCCAAAATTAAAAACCCACCCCTTCAGTTTAGGGGAACTAAACCCCTCTCATGTGTACAAGTACTCCTAGTGCACACCACACCGAAAATATGTCTCTCTGCTATGCCTTGCTGTGACAGACTGTATATGCACCACAGGTACTTGCTTTTGAACCGTAAGTAGTGTAGCTGCACTAGTGCTGCATTCTTTGCGTGCTAATAAGCTCTGCTTCTCAGACCTCTGATTGGAGGTTTGTTGTTGGGAATGACATTCCCAGCATTATTGGGGCCATGCTACCTTCTGCTTGGGGACTATTGAATGCAGGCCTGGCACTGTGGCTAGGGACAGACGTTACACATAAACTGGTTTAAGTACTCAGAAACTGGTTTAAACCCGTAACAAAACAGAAGTTCAGTGCACATAAACCCATTTTAAAATGGCCGAAACTGGTTTAAGATAAACCTGGTTGAATGGAGTATTATACTCAACTGATTTGGGTGAAACCAGTTTATGGACCTTCTGTCCCAGACCCCTTCCTGGTTTAAGTTAAACCTCAGCACCACAGCATCCCCACATGCTCTGCAGCCTGGGAGCAGGGTGGATTTCCTCACCTTCCTCCTTCTCCACCAGGGAATTGACCCAGCTCCCAGCTGGGGCAGGAGAGTAAAGCCCCCACTGCCAGCTTCTCCCTTCTTCTGGGCATAGGGTAGGCACTTCCCACCCCTGCATCAGCTGGCGGGGACAGCCTCCCAGGTTGGGAGAGGACCCACCTGGGCAGCAGCTCTGCTCAGGAGGCACTGGACAGCTGATGCTCTGACCTCCTGAGTCGGTTCCAGCAAAGCAGCAGTGCTAGGGGCTGCGCTCACTCGGCGGTTCCTGGGACAGCAGTAGGGGTCTGGAGTTGGAGTGGGAGAGGGAGGGGGAGGAGGCTGCCATTTTTCCTCCCCACTCCCTTCTCAGAGCAAATGATGCTGGGTGATTGGCTCAGGTCTCAGCTGCAGGGAAGCCTGCAGTCCCACCTGAGCCAGGAGCCAGCATGATCACCCAGACATGCCCCGCCTTCCCTGACCAATGGGCCCGCTGAGGAGGGAGTGTGGGGGGGTAAGGCTCCCATTATGGGCTTATCACCCCCTCTGCTGGGCACAGTCTGGCTGTGGGTCCAAAGCTGGGGTGGGGTGGGCTTCCCCCCACTCCCTCCTC